CTATAAAAATTGTTAAAAGGTACCATTGTGTTGGAGAAGAGTAGAATGCCTTCATCAGGTCAGGGATGAGGTCCTGCCCCAAGTGGAGAAGTTTAAGTATCTCGGGGTCTTGTTCACGAGTGAGGGAAAGATGGAGCATGAGGTTGATAGGCTGATTGGTGCTGATTGGTCTATGTTCCTACCCTAACCCATGGTCATGAGCTTTGGGTAGTGACAAAAAGAACAAGACTGAGGATACAAGCGGCTGAAATGAGTTTTCTCCGCAAGGTATCTGGGCTCTCCCTTAGAGATAGGGTGAGAAGCTCGGTTATCCGGGAGGGGCTTGGAGTAGACCCGCTGCTCCTCCACATTGAGAGGAGCCAGTTGAGATGGCTCCGGCATCTGATCAGGTTGCCTTCTGGATGCCTCTCTGGTGAGGTTTTCTGGGCACGTCCAACTAGGAGGAGGCCTAAACAAAGACCCAGGACATGCTGGAGGGACTATGTCTCTTGGTTGGTGAGGGAACACCTTGGGATTCCCCCGGAGGAGCTGGCCCACGTGGCTGGGGAGAGGGAAGTCTGGGCCTCTCTGGATGGATGGCATGCAATAATGACTTCTGAAAAGCAGCAAACTGGCTTCATTTTTCAGCATTTTAACTAAAACAATCCAAAGATTTTAGCAATGTTCTTCAAGCACAACATTTCAAAAGCTGTCAATAAAAGTAAATTATTTCAATGAAATCCCAAATATTATAACAAACTGTCAGAATTGGATGGAATAAAACAACACATTCAGCAACAGCTATTTCAGTAATCCACAACAACATCAAATGAATATTCAAAATACAAACGTATCTGAGTACATTCTGCCTTTCTGTCCATTACAAAAAGCAATTCAAGGATTCTGCATTACACCCAATCTAAAGGGCACTATCTTTATTATCTGGAGGAAACAAGTTCAGTTTTAGTTCTTTTAATCAAGAAGAACATTATTTATATATGTTTGTGTTTTGTTCTTTCAGCTCTGATGTGTATAGTTAAGCCAGATGGACCACCTCAGTTGTGTAAAACCGATGAGATAGGAGAGATAATCATCAACTCCCGCGCTGGAGGCATGATGTACTATGGCTTGCCTGGACTCACCAAAAACACCTTTGAGGTATGAGAGCAGTAATGAACCAGCGACCTGCAGCACATGTCCTGACAGAGTCTACATTAGGAGCGTGGAGCCGGCCCATTTCCTTTATTCTACGTTATTGTGTCCAGGTGATACCGGTCAACGCTAATGGCGTTCCTATTGGAGAGATTCCATTTGTGCGGTCAGGACTCCTGGGGTTTGTTGGCCCAGTGAGTACAGCTCTTAAATGAGAGTGTGAAAGCGTTTCTCTCTCACAGGATAACCACTCAGCTGTGTATCCCCCCTCCCCACAGGGCAGTCTGATCTTTGTGGTGGGGAAAATAGAAGGTTTGCTGATGGTTAGTGGGCGGAGACACAACGCTGACGATCTGGTGGCCACTGCTCTCGCCGTGGAACCAGTTAAGACTGTTTATCGTGGACGGTGAGGAGAAATTCTGCATTAGGTTTTAAAACAAATAAAAAGTAAACTGAATGGTGAGTCAAGTGCATCCTGTTATATATCACTAGTGACATCTAGTGGTACAGAGGAAACATAGCGGCTCCAAAATGACATTTATACGGCTATTTGGTTTTCAGTATTAGACTGCTTCTGAATAATTGTTGGATTTTGTGTGTGTGTGTGTGTGTGTCAGGATCGCTGTGTTTTCAGTCTCAGTTTTCTACGATGAGAGGGTTGTGATTGTGGCAGAGCAGAGGCCAGATGCCAGCGAGGAGGACAGCTTCCAGTGGATGAGCCGAGTGCTTCAGGTGTGTCGATTCATCTTTTATAACATTATCACTGTGAGACGACAGTCAGCTGTTATATCAGTTTGTGTTGCGACGTAGGCAGTATTTTGTCCACATATTTTTTAAATGCTTCTTCCTTAAATAAGATCCCACCTAAATGTTTGGTTCTCCTCTGAAGGCCATCGACAGCATCCACCAAGTGGGCCTGTACTGTCTAGCTCTGGTCCCGGCCAACACTTTACCCAAAACGCCCCTGGGTGGCATCCACATCTCTGACACCAAGCAGTTCTTCTTAGAGGGCACCCTGCATCCCTGCAACATCCTGATGTGTCCTCATACATGCGTCACCAACCTGCCTAAGCCACGCCAGAAGCAGCCAGGTACATCTGACTGTCTGTTGGTCACAAATCAGACCAGATGCTTAAGATCTCCTCAGTTTTTCTACATTAATGCACATGTTTATGGAAAATGAACTAAAAGCAAAATAATGATGATCACAAATAATAATGTATCTTTTTATTTATCGTAACCATTACAGTTTTTCTCAGTTGCTTTGGTGCATTTCTCACAACAGAATTGATCTCTGCACCACTATTAAGGCTCTTCTCAAAACAATTAGTGCAAACTGCAAAACATGGTGGATAACTTGCAAAAGTGAGTCGCTTCATCAAAAAAAAAAAGTCAGTTGTTCAAAAGCAAGTCAGTTGCTCAAAATAAGTAGTCAATGCTTCAAAAGCAAGTCTCTTAATCAAAACAGATAATATATTCATCAAAAGCAAGTACTTGTATCAATCAAAGTGTCAGGGCTGTCACAATTACAAGTCATTACACCAGCACCTTTGGTCACAAAATCAAATGGTTTGAACACGTTCTCATTGTGACGGATTTCTTTGTAGGTGCTTCCCAATGACATGTCAAGTCTGGACAGCCTGCATGGCATGTTGAAAACCATAAACTGTAAAGGAAAATCAAGATTATGCATTCTTGATAATATTTAACCCTCTGATGCATGAATTATGAAATCTTCAACCATGATTTTTTTAAACAATTTTTTTCATTCATCTTTAGATGTGAATGAAACAAATTTCAACAAATATTTTTTGTACCATTTTGTTAATTTACAAATACTTTATTACATGTCCATCTCAGTGGACTGAACATGAAATATGGTGGCTTGACTTAATGAAGTCCAAATGGAGGGGCTCACATGCAATAAAGTCTTCAACAGCTGTGCTTAATAGCAAAAATAAAGAAATAACACTTTGAGTACCTGTCCACTGTAGTGACCATTATGCATCAAAGGGTTGATTGAAACTGTACACAGCATTGTGCAACTGGGGAAACACAGTAAAACAAACATTTTACAGCAAACATAAACTCACTTAGACAGTAAACCTTACTGCAGTAGTTATGAAACAAACAAAAACTGAACAGACACTGCTGCATATCAATCATTGATATCTAGACGCTCCCGTCTGTCTGCCCACATATTTTCATCAACATCACAGGGAATGTCAGCTCTGTTGATGCATCTGGGAAAGTATCTTCCGGAGTGTCGAATCCACCCTCTGCAAGACTCTGCTGTGATGTCATCACAAGCTGCATCCATAGCTGCTAGCAGGGTCATTTGGGTATGTGGATGACTGTCATATACCTTCCACCTCCAGGAAGAGAAAAACTCCTCAATTGGATTCAGGAATGGAGTGTAAGGAGGAAGAAACTCCATAAGCATCCTGCCGTGTGCTGCAAACCACTGCCTGACTACAGCAGAGTGATGGAAACTAACATTATCCCAAACCACTACACACATTGTCCGATTTTCACCAGGACACACACCAATTTTCATTAGTGTGAGATAAGGTTCACCTGAGAAAAGTAATTTATGGAGATTTCCATGGAAACTCCTTAAACATAGGGTTTTCAAAATGGGTGTACAAAGTGTTTGACAAGATGTTCAACAGTTTTGAGTGCAATGACACAAGCAATGAAATGAAGACCATTAGTTGTAAGGACAATGACTATTCAGCCGGTACAAGTATAAATTATTGTGACATTCATGATAAAAGCAAGGAGATAGTGATGAATAGCATGTCAAAAGGGACCATTCTTTAGACATTTGTACTTAATCAACTGCTTCGTGTCCAAAGCCATTTAGAGCATGAAACCGCCACTAGGTTGTGCCAAAACAACTACATGTTGTGGAGGTTGAACTAACTGTTATGCAAAGTTTAATTCGGTTGTGAGAAATGCACCAAAGCCACTGAGAAAAACTGTAAAAAACAAAAAAACAATCTCAATCTTTCATTTTGGGTTTATGGGGCTAAAATCTCCATCTCTCATCTTTGGATCGGGCATACATGTTCTACGTGTCCACTTTAAATCATCTCTTGTTTCCACCTGCAGTTGGTGTTGGTCCTGCCTCTGTCATGGTGGGAAACCTGGTGGCAGGGAAGCGGATTGCTCAGGCTGCTGGGAGGGACCTTGGCATGATTGAAGACCAGGATCTTGTTCGGAAGGTAGTTTTGATCATTATTCCAACCAGACACCAAATCTAAACTACAATAGGAAAAACATCAACAGCATCTCCTCCAAAATCATTCATTCCAATGCTATGATAACGGTGTATGAAAGGTAGCTAACTACTGATGGTCCCAACTCAGGCAAAAGTCAGTGTTATAGAAAATTCTGGACTCTTCTTTCTCTTTGCTCTCGTTTGTTTCTGGATGTAGCTCTGTATGTGGCCCACTGTGATGGTAAGGATCCTGGTTTACTCCGGCATGTTCCCCACGTCCATGTTCATTATGTACTTATCTGTGGCTTTATCTTGAATACTTGTATTGAATGCTTGCATGTTTATTTGTTTACAGAGTACTTCATCCTCTGTGGTTTTCCCTTTTGTTTCTGCAGATGTATTTTGCCTTTCACATTATCATTCATTTTCTCAAGAGCTGACGTGACTCAGAGGGTGTGGTCTAAGTTGTTTTGCACTCTGACGAGTAACAATTTATGTTAGACAGCTTTTCTACTGAGCTATGCACCACTTTATTTAGTTTAATTATTATTTATTTCATCAGCACAAAACCTCTCCCTGAATCTGACCCCAATGGTTGTGTTTGCATACATTAAAAATGGACACTTTTTCTGATGTAAACACGTTTGATTACAGCATCAGTATTTGACAGAGGCTCTACAGTGGAGGGCTCAGACCGACCCAGAACACGTTCTCTTTGTGCTCCTTAACTCAAAGGTACCAAACCAGTGCTTTTTTATCAGACATAGAACAAATGTGTGTCACTTTTAACTGTGATAGAAGAGGCTGCTTCATTAATGCCCCCCCCCCCCTTGATCATCATTTTGTCTTGTTCCTCAGGGTGTAGCGGTTGGCACGGCAACATGCATTCAGCTTCACAAGCGAGCTGAGAAGATTGCAGCAGCTCTTACAGAGAAAGGCAGCATCAACACCGGGGAGAACGTGGTGCTGCTCTTTCCTCCCAGTACGTTCTGCTGTTAGGTCTAAATATGTTTTCCAAGAAGATCATTTTTGGGCTTTTTAAATATTTCTATGCATCATTTTCTCTAGGCATCGATTTGATTGCGGCCTTCTATGGCTGCCTGTATGCTGGTTGTGTCCCAGTAAATGTCAGACCTCCACACCCGCAGAACCTGGCAGCCACTCTGCCCACAGTCCGGATGATTATCGACGTACGTGCGACCTCCTGTTTAACATTTATGACTGTTAAGAAGGTTTTCTTTAGAGTTCATGAATACAACTGTGGTCAAAGGGTTTGACACTGATAAAAGTGTCTGGATTTAGCCAAACTTTTAGTTTTTTAAAGGAATAATAGGCAGTTTTGGCTTGCTTTTGGCCCCACCTACGAAGTTTGCGTGCTGCCCGCTGCTCCTCTGTTTACATCAGGCGAGAATTTTCAACGAGCGCTTCCGCTCACGCCTACTGTTTTCCAACCCTTCCACCCCACCCCCTGTGCCCTTGCTGTGTGTGTGTGTGTGTGTGCGTGTGTGTGTGTGTGTGTGTGTGTGTGTGTGTGTGTGTGTGTGTGTGTGTGTGTGTGTGTGTGTGTGTGTGTGTGTGTGTGTGTGTGTGTGTGTGTGTGTGTGTGTGTGTGTGTGTGTGTGTGTGTGTGTGTGTGTGTGATCTATCTAGTCTATTTAGATTAGGGTGATCATACGTCCTCTTTCCCCTGGACATGTCCACTTTTCACTCTCTGTTCGGGGTGCCGGGGGTGGGGTGGGGGGTTCCTACTTTGATCAAAATGTCCGGTTTTTCATCCAGGAGCAGGGATCGAGTTATGGGGGGCTAGATATCTTTCAGGGAAAGATCCCGTTTCTGCCTATATTACAATAATTATGGACTTTCAGTGTAGCGGGATTCTGTTGAGCGGAGAGGACGTAAAGCGCTGATCGTTGGTGCGCCCGCTGCATCCGGCGCACGATTCATTCTCAAGATGGCGCAACAAACCTTATTAAAATATTAACACATGATCATTCATATCTGTTTATATCCTCCGGTACTCTATATTTTAATCGTTCCTGATGCGCTCCGCTCATCGTGTGCTGCGGTGGCTCCACCTCACTGACGCGGCATCGAAACTCGCACTCCACTTTGCTGTCAGGAGATCCTTTTAAACTGCTTAGTTCAAAAGTTACTGATGAGGTGAATAAGTAAGAAGCCAGGCAGCAGTTTTTCTGGAGAATTTTGAGGCGGTGCACACCCAGGGCCGTTTCAAGGCATTTTGGAGGCCAAGGCAAAACGGACCCCCCCCCCCCCCCCCCCCCCCCCCCCAAATCACTGGGTTCCCCCAGAAGCCTCTGTGTAATTTCTACCCTGTCCAGGAGTGTTAGTTATACAGTGTTTGTAAAAACACCTCAGACATCACTGACATGTTCTAATATTGTCCGACGAAAAACAAAATTGTCGGAGATGCCGTCTAATCTGCCTCTTTTCTAAACTCACACAAATCTGTCAGTTTCAAAACCATTTGAAAGCCACTATTTGTGGATTCTCTGAAAATTTCCATGGAGTCCATAACAAACTTTTTTTTAAAACATTGATCCTAATGTCTAATCCCACAGCTAAAACAAGCATCCATAATAATCTGTGCACAGGAGGCTTACCGATGCTGTAGTAAAACAAAAGGTATAATAATTTCTTATTTATAAAACGTTGCAGCACTAAAGCAGCAGAAAAATTAGATTTTGCAATAAATATGCTAAATATTTTCATACGAATTGTTTTGAGCCTTTTTGTTTTCAGAATCTGATATTCATTTTAGCTCTTACACCTGGGGAAAAAATGGGTCCCAACGTGGTTTGTGTGGTTTTGCCACCCTAGTGTGACGTAGGGATGGGCAATAAATCAAAAATTTATCATTATCGAAATTTCTGACTCTTATCGAGATAATTTTTCTCATGTCAATAAATATGCTGTACCACCTTGAGTCATGTAAAAGTGTGACTTAACGTAATACACGTGACAGCCCCATCTAGTGGACAACTTATGTTTATGCACATACCTGTAGTTATCGTCCATTTATGGTTATCGAGGTTAAACCCTCAAAATATCATGATATTGATTTTAGGCCATATATCACCCAGCCTAGTGTGATGTCATCGGTAGGCACAGATCTCCTGTCCTCTTTTTTTGGAAATGGAAATATGGTCACCCTAGTTTAAATACACAAAGATGATCACATTTATCAATCGCTGTGTTTTATTTAGAAATTTTACTTTACTTTGTTAAAATTACTGGCCTGCCTCTTCTGTTTGGGTTTGACTTCCTGCCAGAATTGACACGGCTCACTCACGGCTCATGAAAAAATTAGAGCACACGCCAAAACGATCACTGCACGGCGTGAGCCTTTGTGGCGCTTTGCAGATGTGGCCGAAACCGTAGTATAACAAAGGCACCGAATAGAAACGCTTGTCGTTCCACAGCTGCGCTTCCTCGTCTGATTTGATCCGGGTGTAAGTGTTCCTTTATTGAAAGCAAAAGGGAAACTTATCTCCCTGCTGTGTGTTTGTCTTTTAATACCTTAACGTAACAGCTAAAATGTCTCCTCAGCCTTCATTAGTGTCTGTAGGAGGGATTCATCACTAAATTAAACAAATCAGACGTGTTCATGATTTTAAACCTGCAGGAATCATGCAGGGAGCCGACTCCAGAGCCAGGCATGTCAGCTCTGCTTTACTAAGTTCAACAGGGACTGGACCGGCACTCTGAAGTTGCAAGTGCAGTATTCTGGCCTTAGAGGGCGGTGGGGATCTGAGTGACTTCCCTGTAAAGGATAAATTTAGCAAATACTGGCTCAAGAGAATTATTTTTAAATATGAAAAAGTTTCATAGAGACAATGTCTCTATAGTTTACTGAAGTATAGCATTTCATGAGTTTCAAAGACTTTCATAGACATTAGCTTTAACGTTATGTAAAGAGTGAATATTTGTTATGTTGGTCCTTCTTTTTCAAGACTTTTGTTGTTCACCCTGACATTTTGTCAACCATCGTCCGATACAAATTCGGACAGATGGAAGGTCCTCTTGCTTGAGATTTAGGTCTGGCTAGTTTTCCATAATTCAGATTTAATTCTCAGTCAACATGATGGTGACTTTAGCCTTGTGGCATAATACTTGATCATGCAGGAAAATATATCGTTCATCACTAAAGCATTCTCACATGGTTGTGAGGAGTTCCTCTTGGAGAATGTCTTGGTACCATTTATTGTGTTTTATGAGTGAGTCCTCTTGCTTTCTCGGGATACTTTACGGTTGTTGTGACACAAGACTGTGTGACATCCCATGTGATTTCATTTTATTTATTTAGTAAAGATTGTGTTTGTTTTCATGGCAAATAAAGACTAATTCATTGTAATCCTTCTGATAAATTATTGGGTCATTCTTGAGTTAAAGCAAACTTCCATCATAAAATCTGAGGCAGCAACCTTGATTAATGCTTGTCTGATTCTTAGCACTTTTGGCTAGAACTGATCTTTGCTGTCTATTTTTCAATTTTCTTTGACTTAATATGACCTATTCTTAGGGTTGGGGTTTATTTACTGAGAACTGTGTTTTCCTTGCCAGGTTAGTAAGGCTGCGTGTATCCTAACAACACAAAACCTCATGAGGACCCTGCGCTCCAAAGAGGCTGCAGCTTCAGTCAACATTAAAACCTGGCCAACAATCATTGATACAGGTGATAGACCAGACACTCTGAATAAAGGCCGCATCCTATAGGTTTAAAACATTACAGATTAAAACCACCAGTATCCGTTCTGCTCAGTTTTAATGTGGTTATTATTAAGATTATAATATGCATGCATTATTCTATGAATAGTGAACTGAATCCATCTGGTTTTAGTTCTTTGCTGCACCACACTTGTTCTGTACATTTTACTGTTTACTAACCCTATTTGCAGATGACCTTCCTCGTCGCCGGCCTCCACAGATCTACAGGCCGCCCACAGCAGAGATGATAGCTTATCTGGACTTCAGTGTGTCCACTACAGGCATGCTCACTGGTGTCAAGGTGAGACACACCACTTTTATACTGGTCTGCTGTCATATCTGGTTTTAATTGGTTCTAATAAATCATAATTTAAAGATCTGAAAAGTGAAGTGTGTTGTGATTAGGTGGTAGGCGTCATTCAGATATAAGCAAAACCACAAAAATACATTTATTTGCTAATTTGTGGCTGGTAATTCTCTGTGGAGTTGTTTTGTAACAATATCAATAATATCAATATAAATACTGAAAAAAAAAGTTTTGTGTTTGTGTCAGATCTCTCATGCAGCCGTCAGCGCACTCTGCCGCTCCATAAAGCTTCAGTGTGAGCTGTATTCCTCCCGGCAGATAGCCATCTGTTTGGACCCCTACTGCGGTCTGGGCTTTGTGTTGTGGTGCCTCGCAAGGTGCAGTAAACCATCATTTTCTGAACATCTGTCTCCATGTCATCTGCCTGCTTTTTCACATTCTTTTCTCATCTCACAGTGTTTACTCAGGTCACCAGTCCATCCTGATTCCTCCATTTGAGCTGGAGAGCTGCTTGTCTCTGTGGCTGAGCACGCTCAGTCAGTACCGCGTCAGGGACACTTTCTGCTCCTATTCTGTGATGGAGCTCTGCACTAAAGGGCTGGGAACTCAGACCGAGTTACTCAAGGTGAGGCATCAGCACAAAGATAACTAGGACTCGTAGAGCCGTGGGCTTGATTGTTGTGTCCGGCTGTGTTTCAGGCCCGTGGTGTGAACTTGTCGTGCGTGCGCAGCTGTGTGGTGATAGCAGAGGAGCGACCTCGGCTCTCTCTTACTCAGTCCTTCTCCAAGCTGTTTAAGGATGTAGGACTGTCGACCAGAGCCGTCAGCACAGCTTTCGGCTCCAGGGTTAACCTTGCAGTCTGCCTGCAGGTGTGTCACACAGCAGGCACCAACTTCATACACAGTTTATGTTATGGATGAAACACAAACCAGTGTGATTTCCGTGTTACAGGGAACCACTGGTCCTGATCCCTGTACGGTGTATGTGGACATGAAGTCTCTACGCCACGACAGGTGAGCGCACAAACTGAACACTTAGCTACAGCTTCTAGCTTTATGAAAAATTGAAAACTTAGTGCAAATGGAAGATCATCACTTACCTTTGTTGCTGTAAAGATGCCAGAAAAGAAAATCCAGTTTCGTACCATCAACCAAAAGAACTTTTTTTTCTGCTCCAGACTGTTTCTTAAAGGAGTCGATTACTTGTTTAATCAGTACAATTGCCGTGGTCTCTAGTAGGGATTAATGCCTTGCAGGCAGTACTCGGGGCCCAAAAAAGCCCACAAACCCATCTCAGCAGGTACAAGTCATCACAGGAGAGTTTAACACGGCGAGTTTTGGAGTCTTATTCCCTGATATTTGGACATCTCACCCTGAATTGGATAACAGCAACGCAAATCCACCACTGACTTGCAACATGGATGTTTTATCTCCACAAGCAGCCTGGAGCAGCTTCTGCTGTGTGGTAAAGATGTTAATGCTAATGGTTAGCTTAAACTAGCTGAGACGTTAAAGCAGCAGCCTTCCCCGTCGTGAGTCAATATGGATGAGACTATGAATGCTAATTCACAGTGTGATGCAGATCTGTGAGGATTTTCTAATCCTAGAGTTTCACCGTCTTCTTTCTATCAGAAGCTAATGCAGGAGACAGGTGTAGGAGACTATTTTCATGTGCAGCCTTTGTGAAAACTCAACTGATTTATAATCAGAAATAATAATTGAAAAATGGTTTCAGTCAACCACACCTACTAAAATGTCTCTTTTTCACAACTTAATCTGTTTTCTTTGCCTTATTTTCAGTTAAATAAATAATTTCTGAAAGTCTGTGTGTTTGGTTTCAAGGCACAAAACTACAAATACTAGAAAACAAAAATGTCTTTCTGGATTTGCTGTTTGCTGTTACAGAGTGAGGCTGGTAGAGAGAGGAGCACCTCAGAGTCTTCCTCTCATGGAGTCTGGCAAGGTGAGATACGTAGTTTATATATTTCACTAATGCTGCTTCTTCATATCCTCCTATGATTCATTTGCCTTGTAAGCCATCTTATATATGTAAATATAAAGTCTGGCCATGACCCATAGATAGACCTCAGTTCTGAGGTGGAATCTACGGTTTTCTTTCAAGCTGTCTTCGCACGCAACTGGACAGCAGTAGGACCAATTGGAGAGATGAACAATGTGATGTATTATTAGCAATACACCGTCATACACTGTTGAAGAAGAAAAGGAATATTCATATATATCTTTTTTTGAAATAAAGAACATAACTACCTTTATATGGCCATGTCTCATAGAAAGGTCCAAGTCTAAATCATCCAAAATTGATACCAAAGCCGTTTCAAACAAGCCGAAAATTAGCCGAGCCAATGGTAGACCCGCTGAAGTTAAAATGGCTAGACCAACCTGCAGAGCAAAGTCTTTTGCTGCGGTTTCTATTGAGTTCTAGTCCTAGTGACACTAGGGGTACACCATTACCACTTTTTTCCAAACTGATATGAAACCGATACTTGGATCTGAGTACTCGCCGATATCAATACTTCTACCGCACACAAAAAATGCAATGAATTGGAATACACGTTTTTTTCTTCTTCTCTGCTTTCAACAGGAAAATTCTGTGAGGAAGATAAAAAGTAAAATATATTAATAGAAATTGGTGAACAGAAATGACAAGTGACAGTGAAGCCACTTTCAGGCAACTGCATTGGTTCCTGGTATCGGTTAACTTTTACTAATACCGATACTGGTATCGGTATTCGTGCATCCCTATATGACACCATTCAGAATCCTCAAATAAAAACAGGCGGATGTATTTGTGTGTTTTTTTAGATACTGCCTGGCGTTAGGGTGATCATTGTAAACCCAGAAACTCGAGGCCCACTTGGTGATTCTCATCTGGGAGAGGTGAGAGAGCTGATATTTCTTTTTTTTGTGATGACAGCATGGCTGGACCTAAACAACCCTGGTAAGATGGTGTTTTACTGAAAACTTGAGCCTGTGTGTGTGTGTGTGTGTGTGTGTGTGTGTGTGTGTGTGTGTGTGTGTGTGTGTGTGTGTGTGTGTGTGTGTGTGTGTGTGTGTGTGTGTGTGTGTTCTCCCTCTCACTTTGTTAGATCTGGGTGCACAGCCCTCACAATGCCAGTGGTTACTACACCATCTACGGAGAGGAGAGTCTCCAGGCCAACCACTTCAACACCAAGCTCAGCTTTGGAGATCCGCAAACTTTATGGGCCAGAACCGGGTACCTGGGTTTTGTGAAGAGGACAGAGCTCCTGGATGCCAGTGGAGGTGCATATACTGATCTAGTCATGGTTTTTTCTCTATTAAGATATTTGACCCACATACAATATGACTCTCAGGAGACCAGAAGATGTAGTAATAAAAATAGTTTATTAGAGAGGTGAGCGGAGGCTGGTAGGGATGGGCTGGTTCCGGAGCTAGAGATTGGATCACTGGAAGAAATGACACATGAAATGATGATCGGGACGAGGAGGAATATACATCATATAGTGGGGAGAGTTCTTACTGAGATTCGGTTGTAGCAGAGCGTGGGAGAGGTGAGCTGGTACCGGGGCTGTGGGTCGATGTGGAGGTTCCGGAGCAGTGAGGCGTGTTGTTGGAGGGTGGACAGGAGACGCACGGGAGGAGAACAGGGCCGGGGAGGATTCAGCCGTGGTTCGGGAGATCCGAGGGGAACTGCAGAGGCTGGTATGAGAGACTGAAATCTTCAACACGAAGGCGTAATCCAGAGCGGGTTCTTAGGAATCCTGTGATGACAAACAGAGAGGTTTCAGGGAACAAACTAGATTCGGTTTCAATAAACTGGAACGGATTCGGGTGGCTGGACGTTACCACTAAGGCAAACAATCTGGCGCTGAGTGGCTGGTTCGCTGGCTCCTTATTCCTCCCGTCTAATTACATGATGGGCTGCCGGTGAGCAAGGTGACTCTGCGGCCGAGGTAATTAGCTGGATGGAGTCTCTCTAAGTGTCTCCCTAGCCCTCCAACAACCTGTGAAGAAGAAATGTGAACTCACAACCCCAGTACCTGGCAGATCTAACATAAGCAGAATAGAACGTACCTCACTGAGTCAGTAAATATTTGTGTGTTTCTCGTGATCTGTGTATTTCTGCATTCAGATCGGCATGATGCTCTTTTCGTGGTCGGCTCACTCGATGAGACGCTGGAGCTACGAGGACTGCGCTATCACCCTATTGACATTGAGACATCAGTGTCAAGAGCTCACAGAAGTATTGCTGAGAGGTGAGAATAATACAGATATTTGTTAAACTAAATTGAGTAAATCTTGAAGGCCAAGTTGAGCAGATAGTTCAAAATAGACAGAAATAAATGTGGTTGATTTGTGCTGAGCCACGGAGGGGATAAAATTGCATCCTGACTTTATTTTGGGAGACCCTGAGTTTCTTTAGCAGGATCCTGATTTTGTTTTGTGGGATCCCAACTTTATTTGTGGGATTCTGCAATAATTTCCCCCTTTTTTTTAGGGAGGTTCTGCTTAACTCAGCCATGACGAACAAAGGTGATCACAGATATTGTGATGCTCTCATGAACAAACGAATCTGCGCCGTACCTGAACCACAAAAGAAATATTTTCATTCCTTTGTCCCCTCCAGAGCTCCCACCCCAGCTTTCCACCGGATGTGTAGTCATTGCATAATATCTGCAAAGCTTAATAGGCAGCTAATAGCCATCTTTGAAGTCAATTGGTGTGTTTCCACCGGGGACGGGGCAGCATGTCTTGGATGTATCCCAGAAGCAGCCAGAGTCTGTCTATTCTACACAAAGGATGAGTCTGGATACTCAGAAGCAGAGCGTACCATAAGGGGTGGGACTAGCCAACTCAAAAATAACCAATCAGGAAAAAGGTGGAAATAACAACTGTATTGCCCGGCTAGCATAGTGTTGATTTGCTTTGCTAAATTTAAAGAAAGACAGAAATAAACAAAACCATCTTTTATAAAGCGCCTCTCAGGATATAAATTACAGTTATTTACACTTCGGGTTTATTTTTCACACACTTCTCTCCTAGAACGTTTCAAGCTTAGCAGTTCAGATCAACCCAGACGGGAAGTCAGAGGTTGTGTAAAACATCTGTTAACTTTCAAAATAAAAGACACATGCAGATCTTCTTCTGCTGCTTAACTAGTAACAAAAATACATTATTAAATACCTGTGAGATCTCCATGGCCAAGGTAAAAAAAAAAAAACAACATAGACCACAGACATTTTGGATACATGCTGCCGTTTTTCTCCCTGCTTGTTATTGCGTGAACTGTCAAAATCATGCATGATCTTGCAAATTCTCCTGTGATTTTGAGATCCCGCTGGACCAGCTGCGTCTGAAACGCTCTCGTTGGGAAGAGATTTGGCACAGGGTAAAACATGTCAATTAGGTTACGCACTGCTTAAGAGTCCAATAGAAAACCTGGGTTAGTGTTTTCAGATTTCTTTCTAGGATTCTTGTAGATGTACATTCAGTGATCAGAGTTTTCTTAAAACATGAGATGGTTCATTCACATGACTTGTCTTTAATTTTCTTTAATATAAACAAAAATCTCTAATTTCAGTGACTTCTTAATGCTCTTCAGCACCTTGCTTTTGCCCCCACCCACAGTGCTGTGTTTACTTGGACTAACCTCCTGGTGGTCGTGTCGGAGTTGTGCGGTTCAGAGCAGGATGCTCTGGATTTGGTGCCTCTAATTACAAATGTGGTCCTGGAGGAGCACCACCTCATTGTGGGAGTGGTGGTCATTGTTGACCCAGGGGTCATACCCATCAACTCCAGAGGAGAGAAACAACGTATGCACCTTCGTGACTCGTTCCTCGCCGACCAGCTGGATCCTATCTATGTTGCGTACAACATGTGAGGAGTGGTGTGTTCTGGGCATGCTTTGCTGTTGTCTGCTGCCTTCAGCAGCATCGTGGCTTGGCAGAGAGAGGGTGTAAAGCAAAAAGCATGAAGCACCAACACTCCGCCCTGTGTGACACCAGCATTTCTCAGCCACTGCATGTCTTTGATTGGATCTGCCACATTCAAGGCTATTCACTGTGTTGTTATAATAACATCTTGCAAACGGGGCAAAACTTAACATGAAAAGCAAAGTGAAAAGAAAAGCCATGTCGCAAAGGGCAAAATAACACAACAGGTCACTTTTATGATAAACAGTTCTTTCTTAGTTCAAATATGTCTTCTTTTAATCTAGTTACCACAAACTGATTCCCTTTTTTTGTGTCCAAAAATAGTTTCTTAATTTATGTCTCCTTACAATTGTTTTACTTGCAGCTTGCATGAATGCATATTTGAAGTCCTTATAATTTCTCAACGGCAAAATGGATAAATAAGAGAGTGAACTCTGACATGAGTGTGCATCTTTTAAAACTTTACCCCTCCCCCTCATAATTGAAGCCAAAAAGACTTCCCTGCCTTACAAAACTTCAGCCATACATTCCTATCCTCACTTTAATGGCTTTCCTATAAATGGCTGTTAATGCTTTTGCCTAATATAGTGAATTCTGACAGATATTGGAAAAAAGGGATTAAAGTGAGAGGAAAGAGGCCAGATTATCTACTGTAACAACAGGGGTCTCTATGTATTTTGGATACTGTATGTTTCTGTATAGATATTTTTATTTGTATAAATGTATAAAATGCATTACTCACATGTCTCAGTTGGGCGTTTGAGGATGAATAACAAAGAGACCACAATGGTAGCAGAGAGAAGATTGTAAATAGGCTTTAAAAAATTGATTTCACATGGAAATTATTAGCTATAAGGGAGGGTGAGGATAAATAACTTTAAAGGAATTGTTAGTCCTATATGAAATTGCACTTTTTAAAAAAATGATCTATTTTATTATAACTGAGGCATTATGAGCTAGGGTTCAGGAGGAAATGTGAAGAGTTTACAGCAACCAGGAACTTTCCCCGTCACTGTCAGTGGAGAAAACCAATGTGATGACTGTTTACAGGCAGCTGGGTAGTTTTGCAAAAAGCAAGTCCACCGTCCACCTGATCTTCATCGCCTTCGTGTTGGCAAACAGACCCAATCCTCTCAGTTCGTGCAACACGATGGAACATTAACGGGTTTAATACGCCTCCTCTCAGCACTCAGATGTTCAAACTGTGTTTTGTGTTTGTGCAACTATGTAAATAATTAATCTGACATGCAAAAGCTTTGATGTTTGTATTGTAGTCAACAGAAGCGATTCATGTTTGTCATAAATTATTTTCTGTAATCGGTCACTGGATTTATGAGCGCTTGTGAATACAGCTGCAGAGCTGAGCCACAGATAGAACATCGCGTGTTGGCAAATAAATGCATCTGAAAGATATATTTACAAAATACATTTTATTTCCTGCAATCATTCCTATAATTGAAAGTTTTAATTTGCAATGGATTCTATAGCATTTTATCAGTAGACCCCCAACCATCAGACTGTAAATAATTTTTCATTATTTTCAGACAAGCTGAACCCAGTTTTGGAGAAGATGCTATTCATTAAATATAAATAAAAATAAATTTTAGTTTTTTGCATTATTTTATGTACTGGAGGTACTTAAAGTAGAAATGTACTGTGTGGACTGAAAATATCACCATTTCATGTAACAATAAGAGTGTGTGATCATTTTAACCTCATCTTAATCCACCTAATTTTAAAAGGGGTCCAACAGCACTTCACCTTAGCTTTAACATTGTGTTCTGCCATTCCAGCAAAACATGGACTTGACTTATGTGGACATCTCATTTTGATGCACAAGGTATGAAACTACATTCAGGGAGTAAAACTCACTACAGGGAAGGACCAGGTTGTCCCATAATGCAATCTGTGAACGGAGCCCATATAATGTGGACAAAATGAATCTCTAAAGAGCTAAAAGATGGATTATGGCCACCAGTGTGCATCTACCTGCTCTGCTGGGAAGTCTACAAGGGCTTCTTCTGGTTCTTACTCATTACCTTTCAGCATCACAATTCTTACACACTATGCAATCTTAATGATGGTGCAATTTTAATTTCAGAGTGTGCACAGTCTGGAGAAATAAACAAGATACTAATATTTTTATTATTATGACTCAAGAGGGATTGATAAAATGTAACTAGTAGTGTACTTAAGACTGTATTCATCTCTCTTAAGCTGTTTTGTTGATATTTTTGTGTATGCACTTAGTATGTTGTATTTTAATTTAATAGTGAAATCAACACTTGCTTCAAGAAGATGAGATTGGCTTTTGACTTTTTTAACTGCATGGGGGTTATTTAAACACCACAGTTTAAAAAAATGAAGATACACATCATCTTCCCCCTCCTTATTTTTTTCTACTTTGGTTTGTTGTACTTTGTTTTATATTTTATGTATCAGTAATGCAGAATAAATAGACACATTTAACCACTCAGTGTGTGTGAATGTTTCTGTTTTAATAGTTTTGATGCTAGATTTATAAGGTCCATCAGACTTTGCTTTGATTTTAATCAAACAGGTTTAGGAGCTTACAAAGTAAATAAGGGAGAAATGTGATTCCAAGGATACGACACAGTGGTTTAGGCCTTAAAAAGTAAAACACAAGCTTCGTTTTCACTTTTTTATTTAGGTGTTTATTATTTCTATCTATCTATCTATATCTATCTATCTATCTATCTATCTATCTATCTATCTATCTATCTATCTATCTATCTATCTATCTATCTATCTATCTATCTATCTATATTATTTATACATAAGCTGAATGGACAACTATTAAAAAATAAGCTAAACCAACTGCCTCGTTCTCTGACAAACCTGCACTTGCTGCTCCAACTTTTCCACCAATCACAACCCTAAAGAAACATTACGTAATGCCATGTTCCCGAGTAACTCCGCCCATTTCTTTTGGGAGTGGAAAGGCGGTAAGCTATTTTTTTAGGCTGACGTCCTTGTGTTTTTAGCTGTTAGCCGATATTGCTAAGTTACTTTACTGGCTACTTTTTTGATCGAAAGTCTGTACACGAGTAGCCCGAACTCCACGCTGTGAACACGAGCAGTTAGATGTCATTTGGAAAGGTAAATGTTCTCTGACCGAGCGGTACTTTCGTGCTGTGTTTGTCTGTTCCGCTCTAGCCGTAATGGCGGCTGTAGCTCCTCGTCAACTCCTCTCCGCTTTACGAAAAGGGAAGGTGTAGTTAGCTTAATGGCTCCTCGTATCGCTGACGTCTTTTGACGCGATAAGTTGCGTGCCAGTGACAGAGAGTTACATATATTTGTTCACTGGGACAACAGGTCGTCCACTCTCATTACCACATCAGCGAAACTTGTCCAGATTCTAGTTTTGAAACTTGTTTTAAACGCTTTAAAGTGTAACATCCGCTTAACTGGTTAGCTGCAGACAACTAGCTGCTTGCACATTAGATGCCTCGAACGTTCTAGAAGTAACATCTCTCTTTTCTTGGAAAGTTTGTAAGATTGTTTAGGGCGAGGTTATGCAACATTAAAACAGCGGAGTATTAATTCGATGAGGGATAAAAAGTGCACGCTTAACTGCAGAAGGGACTTCGGGTTTCGTAACTCGATGATTGAACTAAAGAGGAAGTCATATTTTTGTAGACGACATTTCGCCTATTTAGGCGTTTAGTTAATAGCGAGTCCAGGAACAAATGTTATATTGCGTTGGTGTGTCATCACGAAGGCAATTATTTGCTGTTTTTCTGCAGAACAAACCTTTTAAGAGTCGAAACTGAGTGGTTCCAACACTTCTCATAATGCAGGCGACAGACCGCTGCTGCGTTTAGAGCTGTTGTCAAACGGTAATACGGATTTATTTCTTCTCAGTTACTATGGAAGAAGTAAAACGGGGCAGCAATGGCACTGAATCACAGGCTGCAACCATTCCCACAACCATCACATCTTCTCAGTTCTCACAGATAGCACAGCAGGTAACTAATACTGCCCTCATCACAATTGATTTGTAGATTAATTCATATACATAATCAGATATATTTACAACAGAAAACACAATTGTAAGGCAGCTTTGAGTCCTAAGGTAGGGCAAATACAAAATTGCTTTATTTTTAGGTTAGCATGTTTAGTTTAAGCAATTCTACTCATTACTTCATTTCTGATACAGCCCTCTATTAACTTTTAGAACATGCATTGCTTGAAATATGTCAGATATTAAAGCTTATCCAGACCAAGATATATAATACAAATTATTATGATACTCATGATTTCTAGGCTTTTTCTAAATCGGCGTGCTCTTTAATCTTCTAGAATTACACTCACTTTTTTTTCCATTAAAACAGAAATCTGGAGCTTTTAGTCAAAAGGTACCATCTAGATGCAAACTATCACACCTTAAGGCAATACTTCTTGAGGCTTTTCTTTTTGCTAAGCCCACCCCCTGTCCTTTAGAGCCCTGTGCATTTTGAGTGCATTAGCCAATCGCATCAGATGTACAGATGTCAGAGCATGCGTGAGCGTTTGAGCAATTACCTAGACAGATAATTTCTCATGGACAAGTGCTATCTATCTATTTATCTATCATCTATATCTATCTATCTATACTACTAATTATCAGCAATACTACTAATTATCAGCAAAACATGGAAATAATTTTTAACATGTGTTTTTAGCTCTGTTAGCCAAGTAAAGATGTGTGTTCATGAATGAGAGGTATTGCTTTTGGCTGTGATTACAGAAGTAGGGAGAGGAGCTTAAGGTGCAATACTTTTTCAGCCTCTAGATGGTGCCTTCATATAAAAAAAATGGACTTTTGTTTTGAGCCAATTGACTGTTAAAATACTGGACAACCCCTCTGTGATGTCACTCATAGCTTTCTGAAAAGCTAGTTTGAAGCCAAATGGGTGGTTCCCACCACAGCAATCTTGGTTTTGTAACTTATGTTATCACTACCGCCAAATACAAAAATGGGCAAAGAGGTGGAGCTAAGAGTGGGGCTGTGAGGGTGGGCGCAAATTATAGACACCCATAAAATTCAGAACCAATGTAGCTATGAGCTAACACAGAGCTAGGAGCAAACGGAGGTGGCTATGAGCTAACCCAAAGCTAACATGGAGGTATCTATGAGCAAACCAGAAGCTAACACGGAGCTAGGAGAAAACACAGATCGCTATGAGCTAACACAGAGCTAGGAACAAATGGAGATAGGTAGGAGCTAACCCAAAGCTAACACGGAGGTAGCTATGAGTTAACTGAGCTAACACGGAGCTAGGAGCTAACCATTGACACTTGAGCACAAGCTCCACTCCTCCACTGCGGTCGGAGGTCCTCTGCCTGCAGTGAGGTGGTGGAGCCAGGCTGCATGAGCCCATGCTCTGCTCCTCCACAGCAGTCGGAAATCAGTGGGGCTGCCGCCACTACAGGACTCTGGCCGTGAGTGTCAGTTCCCAGCTCTACCAACATCATGTTTTAGCTCATTTTGACCAAGCAGCGTTAAGTTAAATGCACAGAATTTTACCCCATTCAACAAGTACAGAAATGAGTTTTATTGGTGGTAAATATTTCATTATCTCAAAATAACAGCTTTTGGCTTTTTCTTGCTTATTTGTGTTGATAGGTACGAGTGACTTGTTTTACCTTTAGTAGACAGCAGTAAAGAAGTGTTAGTTTAGGGAATCGGGGAGAAATGTTCATTGAGATGACAGCACACAACTTATACTTCCCAAATGATAACCAAGTGGTAAATGAGACAGTTTGAGTAACTTTGGTGGCTTAAGTTCGACAACTTAAAATTTATTTTTAAGATTTTATAAAGGTAAAACCTAATAATGTTTTGGTGAACTGAGCTATATTTATACACAGGTACTTTACGAAGTATGTTTAATTAGATGTTTTTCTGTAATTTTTCTAGATGTCATTGGGTGGTTCTTCTGTGGCAGTGGTGCAGCTTCCAGGGGGTCAGTTTCAGGTTCAAGGAGTGATCCAGTCTGCACAGTCATCAGTCATTCAGTCTCCCCAGGTGCAGCTTGCACAGGTGACTATCTGCACTTATATGTATAAATCAACTTCCCTCTGGGATTAATAAAGTATTTTTGAATTGAATTGAATTGAAATGTGGACCCTTTGAATTTGAAGAAAAAAAATCAATTTAATTATACTAGAAAACACACAAAAACTTATAAACATTGATGTGGCAAGGCGGAGAAACGAGGACCCGGGCGGGATTCGATCCCCAGACTCCTGGGTGAGAGTCATGTGCGCTTACCAGTCAGCCAAAGGGACATCCCCTTGGCCAAGTAGCCAGGGTGTGTGATCAATCGGGTCACAGTGAATGGACGCTCACACTGACATGTTTATATATTTAGCAGACGCTTTTGTCCAAAGCGACTTGCAAGTGATAATCGGCATGTTGCCCTTGAGGCTAACAACAACAATAACAGCAACAACTTGACATCAATCATGGAGAGGAGGGAACAAGGAGTGGACAGTAGAGAGGGGTGACGGGTGCAGGGAGGGTGCTAGTTTAGAAGATGCTCTCTGAAGAGCAGGGTCTTCAGGAGTTTCTTGAAAATTGAAAAGGAAGCCCCTGTTCTGGTAGTGCTTTGTAGGTCATTCCACATTTGTGGAACGATGCATGAGAAGAGTCTGGATTGTCCTGAGCGTATTGTAGGCACTGCTAGCCGACGAGCCTGTGATGACCGGAGCGGCCGGGCCGAGACGTAAGCCTTCGCAAGAGGATTCAGGTAGATGAGAGCCGTACCATCTCGGACTTTGTATGCTAGTGTTAGCAATTTGAATTTGATGCATGATACTAGCGGTAGCCAGTGGAGCTCAATGAACAGAGGGGTGACATGTGCTCTTTTTGGCTGATTGAAGACCAGATGCGCCACTGCGTTCTGGACCATTTGAAGAGGTCTCACAGTACAGGCTGGAAGACCAGTTAGAAGGGCATTGCAGTAATCGAGGCAGGAGATGACAGTAGATTGCACCAGGAGCTGGGTGGCATGTTGTGTTAGGTATGGTCTGATCTCTTGTATGTTACACAGCGCAAAGCAGCATGAACGAGCAACAGAGACAACATGATCTTTAAAGGTCAGGTGTTCATCAATCACAACACCCAGATTTCGAACTGCCTTTGAAGGAGCCAGAGATAGGAAGTCATTTTGGATTGAGATATTGTGCTGTATGGATGGTTTGCTGGGATGGCAAGTGGTTCAGTTTTAGAGATGTTGAGTTGGAGATGGTGGGATTTCATCCATTTTGATATGTCAGAGAGACAGTTTGATATTCGTGCAGAGACAGTGTGGTCGTCCGGTGGAAATGACAGATAAAGCTGGGTGTCATCTGCATAGCAGTGGTAGGAGAAGCCATGTGATCGAATGATCTCACCCAGTGAGGTGGTGTATATTGCAAAGAGAAGAGGTCCTAGTACAGAGCCCTGGGGGACTCCTGTGGCAAGATGGTGCACGGTAGAGGATTGTCCAAGCCAAGATACACTGAATGATCGTCCTGTGGGGTAAAATTCAAACCAGGCTTGTGCTTTCTCTGTGATGCCCATGCTAGAGAGTGGACAAAAGGAAGCCATGGTTGACAGTGTCCAATGCAGCCGATAAGTCGAGCAGGATAAGCACTGAGGATTCGGCAGTCGCTCTAGCTTCTTTTAAGGATTCCGTCACTGCTAACGGAGCAGTTTCAGTGGAGTGGCACTTTTTTTACCCAGATTGGTAAGGGTCAAGCAGACAGTTTTGTGAGAGGTATTCTGTGATCTGCTTGAAAGCCACCCTTTCAATGATTTTGGGCAGAAAAGGGAGGAGAGATAGGTCGGTAGTTCTCCACATGATTTTTTTAGCAGTGGTTTAACCTGAGCATGCTTGAGAGAAGTGGGAAATGTACCGGATGTCAGTGAAGCGTTGATCACATGTGTGACTGCTGCGGCTACTGTAGGATCAATAACTTGGAGCAGCTTAGTCGGAATGGGGACATAACATTAGGATCTTTCTAGTTTTATAGACCTTCACATTTTGGAATGTTTTTCTGATTCTACATCAGTAGGCATGTTTTCATGCACAAAAAGAACAGTTTGTAATAGGGATGCACCGATGGATCGGCATTTGATCGTAATCGGCCGATAGCGCCCCTATCGGTTTTGATCGGAATTTTCAAAATAGATCAAAGCAAACCGATCAGGTAGGGTTGTCACGGTAACCAGTGTAGCGCTAAACCCCGGTAAAAAAAAAAGTTGACAATAATAACCGTCTTGTTTTTAAAAAACTATATTATCTTGGTGGGTTTACCGTGGCTGCGGTGTAGGCGCGGTGACCCTTACCAGCCACCGTATCACCTGCTGAAGTTGCCGGCGGCACATGCACGCTTTGTTTACAACAAAACTTTCTTGAAGCTAAAGCTGAAATAATGGTCAAAGGAGGAGACGGCAGCGCTCAGGAGGACATTTATTATCCCTCAAAGAAGACAAAGTCGGAAGTACGGGCATATTTTAGATATTTGAAGAATGCCGAGGAAGTTTATAGAAGACGGGCGGCTATCCTGTTTGCAGCATGTGCAGGAAAAAGTGTCTGTGAAAGGCAGAAACGCTTCAAATCTCATGACACATCTGCGTGACCATCACCCACAACTCTACAGTCAACGCAAGGCAAGCTAACGTTAGCGTTTTAGCTAAAATGCGTGATCCGAGGATTTGGGTTGAGGGAGAACGCAACGAGTCGCTATATAAAGCAGCCGCAGCGCCGCTACCTGCATATAAACCGTGTCGCGGACACCGCCATGTTGAAATGACGCTATGCATTACGGGGCTTCCAGGAGCAGATAAGAGTTGGTCTCTCTCCGAGAATAATTATGAATTTAACAATGATTACTGCCTGATGACATTTTCCCACATCTGCAAAGCTCACTGGTAAGGACACAAACCGAGGACAATATTTTCCTGATATACGGATTGCTCAAGTAAGGGTAAAAAAAAAGTATCTGATTAGAAGGCTACTTGAGTACTGAGTATCATCTGATCTAATATTTTTAAATGATGACATCAAACAGACATAAAATACGAAGTTATGGGCAAATATTGGTATTTTAAAGACTAAAGGGGAAAAATGTAAACAAATAAACAACATAATTACAAAATAACACATTTTAGGCTAAATTTAGACACAAACTGAGGACAATATTTCCTGATATACAGTGTTTATTTAATTGTGTGAAAATGTAGCACGTTTAAAAAAAATACCGCGATAATACCGAAAACCGTGGTAATTTTGGTCACAATAACCGTGAGGTTAAATTTTCACACCGTGACAACCCTAATACAGACCATTTTAGATTAGGTTACATTTCCTTTATTCCCAGATTATGTAGTTTGTAGCACTCATTATAATGTTGTAGAAAATTTCTGGCCAATCCACGTGATCGGTATCGGTGATCAGCATTCTTTGATATCGGTATCGGTGATCGGCAGCAAAAAACCTGATCGGTGCATCCCTAGTTTGAAAGGTATAACGAATAGTCCAGAAAGCAAACGTGAATTACAACAACAATTCAGGTCTAAACATTATGAAAATGTTTACCATTTAAACAAAAATTACCTTAAAGTTTGATAAAGTAAAGAAATCAGTCAGTTTACAAGCATTATTTATGAATTTAAAAAATATTTTATCTAAGTTTCCTTATGACTATGGAATATGCTAAATACTCACATTCTCCTCTTGGTCCACTCTTAGGCCCAGGGTAGTGATAGTGACGACTCACAGGACTCTTCTGATAGTGGAGCAGCAGCACAAAAGACTAGAGAAATCCTGGCAAGACGGCCTTCATATAGGTAACCATAAAAAAGAACAATCTGGAAATCGTCTTCGATGTGATTTTTGATAATTCGAGCACATGACTTACTTCACACTACAGAAAAATTCTGAATGATCTTTCATCTGAGGAAGCGGCACACATCGAAGGAAAAGATGGCTCTGTATCCACCGTTGTGACAGGTGTTACAGCTCCAACCTCCCAAATCTACCAGACCAGCAGTGGCCAGTACAGTAAGTTTCCAAGTTCACATGACAGATAACATAAGATACTTCAAACATACTGGTTTTGGCCCCTTTTTACTGGTTTATTCTGTTTTGTTTTCATCTTTGATAACACTAGTTACCATTGCTGCAAATGGCACAATACAGCTGGCAACACCAACAACTGAAGGCCTTCAGGGACTACAGGCTGTCACCATGGCCAACTCGGGTGGCGCGCAACAAGGACCCACGATCCTCCAGTATGCTCAGACCCCTGATGGCCAGCAGATACTAGTGCCCAGCAATCAGGTTGTTGTACAAGGTGAGCAATAACCAGGATTGATCTGTTTTATGTAAATCTTCTATTAAAAGAACAAACCATGTCCAGCTACATTCAGACACATGCTGCTTTAAAAAGTGTTCTTATCTAGTCCATTTGGAAGAAGTAAAATATTTCTGAAAATAGGTTTTTATACAGAAGTAGGTATCATATATACCAGGTGTTTTTGTTATTGTTCAAATGTCCAAAACAAATCAGTGTTTTGTCTGGATCCATGTTTTTATTTTGTCACTGTTGTTTCACTCAGGTACAGGAGGAGAAGTACAAACGTACCAGATTCGTACAGCCTCCACATCCGCCTCTCTCCCTCAGACTGTAGTTATGACCTCTCCTGTTGGACTGTCTCAGACTAAGAATGACGACCCAACAATGAAGAGAGAAATCAGGCTTGCAAAGAACAGGTAAATAAACAGTTTAGTTCTCTGAGTAACAGATTAAAGGGGACCATGATGGAGGCTTAAGGTTGGTTTATGCTTGACGCGTGGCTCCGCGCGGAAAAGTTGCGTCATTTTGCGTCATTTTAACAACCACGCCCCTCCGCACGGCCCAGAATTTCCGCAACGCGCACCTCGGAAAATTTCTAACCACGCGGACGGACGGACGGACGCGGAAAAACATGGCGGACCGGCAAGAACCAGTACGGCAGAGGTTCGTAAATACAGACATTTGTATGATTCAGCTCTCAGAGATCACCGTGATCAACATGTTGTTAATAATTCTTGGAGAAAAATAGCTCGCACTGTCGGAAAAGACGAGAACGCTGTTAAAAATGCTGAAATGCCGTGTTGTAAACAGTAATTTCTACTTCTACTATGGTGTAGTGTTGGATGCATGCCGTAGAGCTCCATGCTGCCCCGTTCAGTTTGGGAGAATATTGGCTCACCGCAGAGACGAGCCGCACGGACCATAAACACTGCGAGTTGTGAAGCGCGCTCCAGCCGCGAGCCGCACCACCACGCGGAAAGTGAATGCGTCAAGCATAAGCCAAGCTTTAGAGGTTTAGTTTGAACTGAAGGCACAAAACAGCTTCTACTCTTGTCAGAAACGGCTAAAAATGCGTCATCTTCTGCAGATGCCGCTCACGTTAGAGCTGTAGACGGTTCATACTACAGTCTTATGGAGGTCGTGTTTGAATTAATATCAACATCCCTCAAAAATATTGGATTTTAACAAAAAGGCATTGAAACCGACACCTTAAGAGGTTTGGAGTCGAGTTAAAATGGTGTTAACTAGTTGCCTAACCTGGCCTTTCCACTAGATAAGAGGAATTGCGTAATGTTTGCAAAGTGTAGTGTTCAGTAATTAGCCTAGTTGTAGTGGATGGGTCCATTTCTCCAGCCCACAAAGAGTCACGTTTAACAAAAGCAGTGTTGTGTCGATCTGCTAAATTTATAATTAGTCCATTTTTAATGCTCCACACTTCCAGAAAGTGTCAAGCTGCGCACATCAAACCGGGCCAGACAGGAAGTCAAACATGAAAACCGTGTAAAACATCCCAAAACTTTCAAAAGAAAAGTCAGCTGATAACTAGTAAAAAAAAAGAAGCATGTATAACCTGTGAAGCTGCAGAAGCAGAGGCAAACAAAACAGAAAATAACCCACAGACCTCTTGGATACATTCTGCTGTCCCCTTACTTGTTATTGAGTGAACTGCCAAAATCATGCATGGCCTCTCAACTGTCTGGTGATCGTACCCAGCAGCATGGGATCGTTGCTGTTTCACATCTGAAACGCTCCTGGTGGGAAGGGGCTCACTGGGATTTAGTGTAATGGCATACCTTCAGTGATTTTTAAGATAAAAGTACTTTTATTATTTATTTATTTATTGTACACTTGCTGTATGCTTGAGAAACTTTGTGATAAAATGTTTTCATTTCTCAGTCTGACAAACTGCTTGTTTCCTCCTTGTAGAGAAGCAGCCCGAGAATGCCGACGGAAGAAAAAGGAATACGTTAAATGTCTGGAAAACCGTGTGGCTGTCCTGGAAAACCAAAACAAGACTCTGATTGAAGAACTGAAAACATTAAAGGATCTTTACTGCATTAAAACTGGATAACCTTTCTGAATTCACACCGAGGATTGAGACGTGTCCATGTGGGACACCTCAGCCCTTTGGACAAGTTTGGGTTGTTGGGAACACTTCATTTCAGGTTAAGAGTCCCTGTATGTTTTATTTTATTTTTTTTTACTCTGATATCAGTGACTTGTGTCAGTGAGAATTACTGGACAAATTGGCCGCTTTTTCCAACTGTTGTTTTTTTAAGAAAAGAAATAGCTAATGCTATAACATTTATAGTTGTGTACATTTTTAATACTGAGAGATTTGAATTTGTCAGCTTTAATGTCCTCTGTTTCCAGATGTATCTTTTTTTTTCTTTTATGAAAACAATGTTGCTGTTGGAGGTTAATCTGCTAGCATCAGCATCATTTTAATTGTATAATGATCACACAGACCAGCAATTTCTCCCTTTTTCTGGTGTTGCAATCGTCATTCCTTAGACTTGTGCAATGGAATATAAAGGGTATCAGAAAGGAGAAGAAACCAAGTCGGTTTGTTAGGTTGCTGTTTGGCCGTTATATAGACAATCAGGGAATAAAAAGCAGAGTCCAGGTAATATTTATTATGTACGTCTTGGGAAAGTGGGAAAGAACAAACATTGTAAAAGAAGTTTCAAAGTCTGTGACTAAATAAATATATTTTCACTCAGTGTGGTTAATGCAAAAGTTGCTTAAGATAAAAACAACTTTTCTGATAAATGCTTGATATTGAATTATACGGGGTATGTGTAAACTACTGATAAACCTCATGATGCAATTTTTTAATTAGAAGCCAGTAAACAGCATTCAGCGCTAATCATTGAGTTTTACATTGAAATTAAATTAAAGCTTAATAAACCAACTTTTCCCTAGCAGTCATTTGATAGAATATCCCACGATGTGCGGCCTTATCACTAAAGAAACGCCTAGAGCTTCTATGTGTTTTAAGTGAAGTTCAGCAAACCCAGCTGCCTCCAGGTCTTTCCACGTTGTTCTGGTAACCATGCATCCATCCCCAAGATAGTACCAAATGGGCTCAAACACATACTGGAAGAAGTACGTCCACATGGAGGAATCCGAGACCACATGCTCCAAAAAATAGAAGGCTCCTCCCTGAAAGAGGCAACAAAAAAACTGCAATGTTGTGTAATTCTGCTGTCACAACAAAGTTCTGTTTCTTGGTTACAACTGCGTAGATTTAAGCAAAACAACCATGCTATGACACCAGTCGAGTGTCTAGAGAGTGTACAAACTTCTCTGAAGCAGAGCTTTGCTATTGCATATACATCCATCCTTTTTATGCAGATGCCTTGTAAATGAATACCACAGGTCAAACAAGCAGGTAATCCTAAAAACAGCAGGGTGCTTTAGGGACCTCAAACACAATCTGTTAATCTTGATTTTGTGTGTTCAAATAGCTGAAATCCATCAGCACATGAGTCATTTTAGTCACTGAGATACTTAAACACCATGGTTTAGACACAGTATAAATATTACGTACGTCAATGTCAGGGGTGTCCAAACTTTTCAGGATGAGGGCCAAAATCACTACTAATCCTTGCAAGACAAAGATTAGATTTTTATTGTAAAATGCAAAAATGACTTTATGGTGATCATTTCTCATGTGTACTCCATAAAATAAGTTTAAAATAGGCATGTTGATATAATCCAAACATAAAAATGTCAGTGTTTCTCTACCCTTTTTCCTTGCAGACCCTTTTTCGTGTGTCCAAGAAAAGCCAGGACCCCCCGACCCTGAATTCTGCCTACAAGCACACTTAAAAGTAATGAAAAGCTAACTCTATAAAGACATGCAGAGTTATATATCTTTTAGAGTTTTGATTAAGATAGTGGGTGTGTTATTGGTATGTTATAAATGCAGTTTTTACAAATATAATCATGGTAACCTCAAAATCTCAGCAACCCCAATGAAGTTGTGCCAGTAATGTTTTAAGATCTATTTATATTTATTTTTACTTAATTTTGCACTAATAACAACATCTCATAGAAGAAAATAGCCATACTTTGCGAATTTTTCTTTTCTTAAATTTGAAACAAAATGGTGTTTTTTTTTATTTCAATCTCTAATACTCAATAGTAAATATTTAGACTTTGGTCCCTCTGCTGGCAAAAATAAATAAATAATAATAATAATAATAATAATAATAATAATAATAATAATAATAAAACACTCAGAAAACGAAGAGTTGCCCCCCTCCAGTGTCTGAAAGCTGCTACTACACTTTTATTTACTTATTTTTACCTTTTTGCCATTTTTAGAGAAATGCCGACTTATCTTAATAAAGTTTTAAACAAAGATAATCTGTTTTGTAGCTAGCTGCTACAAGCTCCAGTTGTGGCGGACTGGTTTAATCTTGGTGCCCACAGGTAATTCAAATAGATTTGTTGAGCTTTATAAGTGAAGATGTTCTGGCTGTCTGTCACAATAGTTAGTCATACTGTTGACACAAATTAAAAACCCGCAGTAATTTTAAATGGTGTGGTTTATTTTGAAGGAATCTACAGGAAGTACTGGTCACCCTATTTATAGCATCAACAAATCTTGCTGATATTAGCAATTCACTAAAAATTCCTACCGCACGCGAAGGCAGCATGTTAACTCACCGTTCTGAGGATGCGTCGGACCTCCTGCAGGACCTTGGGCACGTTTTTGACAGAACACAGGACTAGTGTGCAGACAACAACATCCACACACTCGTCCTCCACCTCCTGCATGTCTTCTCCGGAGAGTACTAAGAATTTGTCATAAGTCAGGTGTTTGTTAGCGTCCATGCTCAGTCGCAGGTACCGCTCAAAGTGCGCATTGGGGTCGGTGCAGGTCACCGTGCATCCGTAAGGGTAAAACTGGAAGTTCGCTCCGCTGCCACAACCAACTTCCAACAAACGAAGCCCACCCTCAGAGTTGGAAAACTTCGCCACGTTTCGAAACAGTTCCCTCTTCACTTCGTGCATTTTGTCATTGTAAGAAAATGTAATGTTGTAAGCCAGCATGGGAAATATACGTTTGTACAAACCAAACAGGCCCACTAACTCCAGTACGTAAAGAGGGATGCTCAATGGTAAACAAACTAGTCTACAAAATCTTACAAAACAGGACTTCATCTTCCTCTGAAACGGATTCAAGTTAATGAGATCAAGAGATTAGTCAGAACATTCCTGAGCAATGTCAGAATTAGGCCACCAGATGGTGTTAACAGACGAGTATGTGCTGTGGTCTTATGTGGTCAAAAGCCACGGTTTATTATTATTAGGAACAAAGCACTCAGGGGTTTTTGACCCTAATGACCATCCGTTGGTAAGGTCTTAAACACAAAAATGCCAACTGCTTGCAATGATTTAGGTATGTACTGCCCCCTATCGCCAGGAAAAATATAACAAATTTAAAGAGACAATGTGTAGTTTTTACCATTCGTTTCTGGAAATATCCATCAACATTTTGTTCAAAACAAATGAAATGATGCCCAGTTGTTGAAAAATATTGGCAGTTTCATAACATACAACAATAAAAATCAGGTCTACAATACATGGGTGCGGGTCTAAGTCTCTGGGTGATGCCATATTAGATGTCATGTTTCCTTCTATGGGAGCCCATGAGAACAAAATGCATTTATTGATTTGTAACAAACAGTAACAAAATGTTCACCATTCTTAAATGTAGTTGTTTTACACATGCACCCCCAATTGTTGGCAGTGGTGAAACCCCCATTTGTTGGCAGTGGTGAAAGGGAGTCTGCTGTGCACGTATTTATTTATTTTTTTGCTGAAGTTTGCACTCCCCGGGGCTTTTTGACCCTAATGGGCATCCGTAAAAATACTGCTTGCCTGCTACGATTTAGGTATCTACTGCCCCCTATTGCCAGGAAAAACACACACTGTCACTTCAATGAGCAATAAGGCAAAAAAAAAACGCAACCACAATTTCTGAAAGACCTTTAATCACAGTAAAAATAAGATGTACAGTTAAATGTGTACATTAAAAAACTACTTCATCTTTAAATCACGATATGCAATTTCTCATGTTAGCTTTTATAGATATAGCACTCGTGCATGATAGGGAATACAAACGTATAAAATTTGTTTTGTGTGACAATTCTGAAGAATTATTTTCACAAAAAACACAGACACTTTATTTCAATACAAAAACGTCCATGAGGGTAAAAGCTGACACACTTGTGATCATATCACATGCACAGAGAGGAATACAAATCTTGGTACATCTATAGCTTTTGCAGAGCTAATCAGACTGAATCTATTTCACAGCGTAGCCGATGATGTGAGGTTTGATGATGAAGATGAGTGGTGCTTCAATGTGTCTCAGATTGAGCTCAGAAAACCCAGCTGCCTCCAAGTGTTTCCATGTTTCCCGGGTGGCTTCACATCCATCACCAAAGTAGAACCAAAAGGGCTGGAGGATGTGCTGGAAGAAGTACGACCAAGTCGAGGGGTTTGCAACCACATGCTCCAGGAAGAAGAGGGCTCCACCCTGTGAGACAAGATGCAAAGTACATCTACTTCATTTTCTGTATACATTACTTTTTTTATTACAGGCCCAAAACATTTGCGTATGTTTGCTTTTATTTTTGTTTATTTACTGCAAAGTCAGTCCGAGATTGCAGTACTGAGAACTTTTCCTTTCTCTAAATAATCTGTTTTACAGATAAAGTTTTGACATCAATTGTTTTCTGGCTTGAGTATCTGTGCTCCTTTACCGATCATCTGCACAAAGCAAGCAGCATCTCACCGCACAATACTCAGTTCCACCAGTAGGTGGCAAGAACGCGAACATTAAAATGACATAAAAAGTAATCAAATTAGTATCAGTTGGCTCTTTTTAGCATTAACTTGCTAGCGTTAGCAACAACAGGCTGTGGCATGGTTGTTTATAAGAGTTGTACAGTAGTCCCTCTCCATAACGCGGTTCACCCTTCGCAGCTTTGCAGATTGTTTTCCATCAATAAAAAAAGGCAACAACGATAATTGACATTAACAAAAATCCTATCAGAAAATGAAAAAAAAAAACAATCAGCAATTGGTAGAGGCGGGACTAGGCAACAATAAAACCAATCAAGAGTCCGAATCCGGCCACTGTTTAAACAAATTAGCGGTAATCATATGTGCCTGTAATATTTGAACAGTTAATGTCTAAAACAAGAAAATGTCCGCGGTTGGGAGGAAAAGCATTAGGTGTGACTAGGGCTGGGCGATATGACCTAAAATCAATATCACAATATATTGAGGATTTCACTTTGATAACGATAAACGATAACTGAGAGGGTGCTCGCTGCAGAACTACAAAGGCGGAGCTGCACCAGAGTTAGCCCCGCCCGTTCACACAAACTCAGCCTAGCCCACTGACTTCTTCTGTTTTTGTTTTTTAACTTTATCGCAAACTAACCTGACCCACATGAATTACGGCTGTTACTAGTTTACAATTGTTAATGCTATGTTCTATGCTCCAATTAAGCAAGATAAATATAACTTGCTACATGACAAAGCCTGAATATATCCCGAAATGAAAAGGTTTCTTTTAGCAAATATCTGCCCACAGCCACTCCAACAAAAGTGGGCTACAACAGCATTTAACACATATTGCTGTATGGGTTCTGGTAGTCCAGTGGCATGACTGTCTGATTTGAGTTTTGCTTTCCCGTCGGCTGATGCTGGTCAGACTCTCGGTGGGGTCGTCAGCATTCTATTTAGCCAGCTGAAACATTTAATTTGTTTATATTTTAGTTGTAATGTTTATTTTCTGCAAAATATTTATGTCTGTACAAGTTCTTTGAATTTGGTCGTTCCTAAACAGCATTTTAGTTGAAACTCTGCTCACAAATGGACTCACACTGGCTAAATAAACAAATAAATAAAAAATAAAAAACACATTAGTCATTATATTTTAAATGGTATACCAATAACTGGCTGTAAACATAGAACTGGCAAGTGTAGCTAGAAAGGAAGAAAAAAGTTACTGCCGCTACTGGAAGGTGAACCTGCACAAAACTGCACGCCTATCTGACTCCATAACCACTTCACCACTACATCTGATAACGAGCATGTAGTGTCACATGTAATTGTGCCATCCAGTGTGTCTTTGTAGATGGGATGTATGGTTTTTCCGGCGGTGTCTCAGTAGAAGTCATTTCAGAAATAATTTGTCAGAAAATTCACAGAATATCCAGATTTGAGAACCAAGACCAGACCCGTTTCGGGGGAGGAGACCAAATTGAAGCTGAGATGGGAGGAAAATGCATGAATGAGGCCAAAAATGGCTTTGGCGTGTTTCTTATGAGGAAATGACAATATAACATGGTAAAAAGTTCCAAAAGTTAGATTTTTAATTATATGGAACCTTTACAAAAATGGTTCAGTTAACCTCTCAACTCAGTCCTCAATCTTGCATTTTAGATGATATTAGCTATAACACCCTCTTTGGTTCCAGAATGCTATCAAGTCTGACAACTGGAAGGAATTGGACTGACTCTGATGGAATGGTCGGGGCTGATTCTGGTGCAGCTCCACCTTTGTGGTTCTGCAGGGAGCACTATAGGTATGGCAGAAACAAAAGTTGTCCACTAGATGGGGCTGTCACGTGCATTACGTTGAGTCACATTTTTACATGACTCAACACCTTGAGTCATACAGCTTCTTAAAGGGCCATGAGCGTTGACAACTTTCACACATATTTTCATTTTTTATCAAATTTATTGACACGGGAAAAATGAACTCTATCAAAGTCAGAAAATTCGATAATGATAAACTTTCTATTTATTGTCCAGCCCTAGATGTGACCATCTGATGTGACCATCTGAAGTCTTTGTTTGGTGAGTACACATCCAGGGTGTCTCAGGTTTTAAAGGTTACAGTGGTAACAGCGCAGGGGCAGGAGAGGGGTGGAATGTTAGACCGAACCGAAAGCACAGAGTGGATCAGAAGTTATCAGTCCATAGACTCCCATTCATTTTTTTTGGCATGACTGAAAGTAATGGACGTGACATATGCTGGTGGAGGAAATTCTCTGTTTAATGAGAAAACTGGTGGACATGATGTGTGAATAATTCAGATTGCACATAGACACACACAATTTAGCAAAAATATACCATAAATCCTCTAATATTAGCCTGTATTTAATTAACTGCCGGGTATCATATTTTGGCCGGTGTCGGAGTCGGCGGAGGTGAATAATGGCCGGTTTTTTATTGTGGCCGGGAGGAATGTGGTAACAAGCAAGTACCACGGAGGGGGGCGGTTGTGTCATCCGCCTCACTTTTGATTTGCCAGTGATAGACCGCGAGGGTAACCTTAACCGTGCGGAGACGAAGAGGAGGCGAAAATTTGATATCAAGTTCAAAGAGAACGTGCTGATTATGCTGCAGAACACTGGGGAGCAGTAGGGGTTGTATGAACTAGTCACTAGTCGACTTCACCGCTCTATAGTGACTTTTTATGCCTGTCATCGACTAGTCGCTGTCACGTGATAATGACCGGCAAGACGCAGTCCTCGGAAAAGACAGCAAGCAGCCTGCTGTCAGCAGGTGACAAGCTCCTGCGCGTCGGGAGGCAACGAGCTGTGCCACAGCGTCGGTACTGACACCCGCTGTAAAACGGACACTTAACCAAATTGTGACGTTTACCCTCTTGCAATTTAACCTTCCCCTCACCCCCATCCTAACCTTAACCAGCTTGCGCATGCAAAGCTCTGATTGTTGACGCGCTCCAGACATCTGCGTCCTGAGCACGGCCACAGTAACATTATCAAATCAGGTGTTGCCACCTCAAAAACTAATTTAACACGCGATCGTTCATGTCGGCTCATTTCCTTTTATGTTTTCTGTCTTTTATTTGTGCCTGATGCTTTTCGCTGCTGTGGAGCGGGGCACGTCACCTTGTCCTCCGGTGACGCACCTCACCAGTGCGGCCGGCGTGCAGCTCGCACTCCGCTGTTTCTGTAGTCGGTCGATCTTTTAGAACTGCAGTTCGAAGGTAACTCATAAGGTGAATATATATGAACCCAGGTAGCAGTTTTTCTTTAGGATTGAGAGGAGATGCAGGAAGATAATAAACAGACAGGACAGAAAAATAGTCAAATAAAAACAAGTTAGTTTTTGTACCTGTTGGTTGCAACAAACAGACACCATTGAAGGTAATCAGAAGTGAGGAACAGAAAATGAAATAATTATTTTAATGTTTAGAGCAGCAGGAACTCTGAGAGGCTGCAGGTGTGTCAGTGAGTTTGCGGCCGCTGCGCAGGGGGAGGGGGGAGAGGGCTGAAGCAGAAACTACCGTTGTTAAAAGAAATGTGTTTAACTTTGAAAATGTGGGCGCAATTTTAATTGTCAAAAACTCCAGCGAACCATTAGTTCATTTTGCTCAAATAGAAATAGAGTCCTGCCTCTAATTCTGGTCCTCCTTTCAATAAAGGCCTGGAGCTTGATGAGCTTGAGTCAAATACAGGCCCGGGCCTGTAGTAGAGGATTTACGGTATGAACTAAAAGTGTGCAGATGTTTTTTACCTTCAAGTCAGGTAGGACAGCCCCCTAGTGCCCCCTATGGACGAGCTGCCATTGGCACATGCACAGTAACTCTACACCCTGTTGCCTCCTTACATATGTAAGTTCAGGCTTCTACAATCTCCAGCTCACAGTGACGAAGCATTCACCTCGCCTGCCAACATGTCAGGGTGCGTGTCCTTGGCCTGGATCTGTGTTGGAGTTTGGAAGCTAATCTCTGTGCAACTGGTTACATAACCTGTTATTTGAAACTCTCGACTTCAACTGCACAGCGAGTGAAAGTGAAACACTTCTTAAGTGATTTCTCCTCACAGAGTTTTGCACAATCTGCAGGATATTCAGACCAAATAGCAAGACTCGCTTGTTCAAGCTGGCTTTTGTATGACCTTCTTCACCACTCTCTCTTTATTCTGCTCTCCCCACCTATTCCGCCTTCATCAGGATCCACTGATTTCCCTCTTTCCTGTTCACTCTCTCTCTTTCTTAAAATTTCTTCTTTTAAATCCCAATTGCCTATTTTTGCTCATTTTAAATATATTTTAAAACATTTTCTAAATGCTTTTTTATATTTTAACATTGTTTTTGTGAAGCGCCTCGTGATTTTTATCTTGAGAGGTGCTATAGAAATGATATTTTCTTCTTCTTCAAGAAAAACACTTCCTGCTTTTAGTGAAGTATATCAAACAACTGCAAAACTAAACTTCCAAAGTACTCTTTTAAGTACTAAATAATTCAATATGTAGCCTTATCACCTCTGATGCTTGCATGTGTGTGTGTGTGTGTGTGTGTGTGTGTGTGTGCGCGCGCGCGCTTTTAGGAATAAAGGTGAGTGAGAGACAGGTAAAAGGCCTTACAGGCTTCAGAATGCGCTTTGCCTCTCTCAGGGTTTGGGGGATGTCTCTGACCGTGCACAGCACCAACGTGCACACAACAACATCCACCGATTCATCCCCCACGGACGCCATATCCTCCCCCACAGCCACCACGAATTGCTCGTAGTTGAGGTGGTTGTTCTTCTTCATGCTGTCCTTCAGAAATCTCCGGAAGTACGGGTTCGGGTCGGTGCAGACCACCTTGGCGCCTGGAGGGTAAAACTCAAAATTAGCCCCGGTTCCGCAGCCAATCTCCAGGATTCTGAGCTGTTCGCCGGGTTTCTTGAACGCTGACAGGCTGCGAAACAACTCCGCTTTGTTGTCGTGCATCTTCTTGTTGTAAGACATCGAGATGCGTTTCAAACAGAACGGGAAGATGCGTTTGTAGACTCCATACAGACCGAGCGCTCTGATGACATGGAGAGGTAAACATAGCGCGTTCACCACCAAGGTCCAGAATTTAATTGGGAAACTCATCTTTGCAGAAGAGACCATCGGACTGACTGCGCGCGTGCAGGAACGTGTGTGGCGACAAGCGCGCCGCGGTCTGACGCAACTTCCGGTCGGCACTGTCAAAATAAAATCCGTTCCTTGGAATACAATAACTTTCTAATTCTATTTTAATAGTTTGCAGTTCATTCAACAAATATTTTCTTTTTAGGTTTATTTCAGACAAAATGTTGTCTAGAGTGAAAGTTTTTCCTTGTTCATCAATGTTCCACCCCCCTCCCCGCACCCCCCACCCGGCTGCCCTAATGAAGTATACTTTACTGATTTCACCATATGAGCTGGAGGTGTGTTAAAACATGTAAATAAACCCAAACTCTTGAAACCAATATAACTGTTAATTGTTTAAATCATCATCATCATCATCATCATCATCATCATCATCATCATCATCATCAGCAGCAGCAGCAGCAGCAGCAGCAGCAGCATCATCATCAGCATCATCATATTTACATCAACGTATTTAGTTTTGGGAAAAAGTTCTATAAACGTAGACATACGCATTTTATCATTCCAAACATCTAAAACATAAATATATTAACATAATAAATTTACCACAAATAAAATACAAACAAATGAATAATTGTTTTAGCTTCAATAACAATAGAAATCTTATATAGGGCCTACAGTATGAATTATAATGTGTGTGTGGCCTTTTTGTGGGTTCTGCAAATAAAATTTGAGTTCTCACTGCAGCTTATTTTGGTTGTTTTGTGGAGGCATTTATGGATGAGACAGACCTGTTTTACTTCCCCAACTCAACTTCAGCCCACTGTGGATGGAAATGCACACACACACACACACACACACACACACACACACACACACACACACACACACACACACACACACACACACACACACACACACACACACACACACACACACACACACACACACACACACACACACACACACACACACATCTGCGTGTGAAAGTAACCTCCCAATGAGCCACCACAGTACTGGATTTTCTGGGATGTGCAGTTTTGTAGAGATCCGCTGGAGGGAGACATTGTTGGATCACGTTGAGAACTGTGACGTTCTCCAAATTTCAAGACTGTGGGTCAACTTAGCTTGAAATGTTTTCATTTCTGTATATATTTGTTTTCATAAAAACATAAAAGTAATTGAAATACAGCCCATCACAGAGTTCATGCGTTCACAAATATCAAAGATCTTCATTATTAGATGATTTTAAGAAAACAACTAATTAAAGAAACATTTAAAATCAAAAATGTGAATTACACAGATATTGTGTCAAGTAAGATTACACTCAGACCATGTCAGGATGTAGGCCATGACTCAGCAGCCTTGAGTCTCTCTCTCTCTCTCTCTCTCTCTCTCTCTCTCTCTCTCTCTCTCTCTCTCTCTCTCTCTCTCTCTCTCTCTCTCTCTCTCTCTCTCTCTCTCTCTCTCTCTCTCTCTCTCTCTCTCTCTCTGTGCGTGTGTGCGTGTGTGTGTGTGTGTGTGTGTGTGTGTGTGTGTGTGTGTGTGGATCTAATGAAAGTATAAATGCCTTGGTGGTACATTTGTGACTGTATATACAGTGGGATGTGAAAGTTTGGACAGCCTTGTTAATAGCCTTGTTAATCTTCCTGACTTTCCTGTGTAAATTGTTGATTGTTACAATAAAAATTTTAAGTTAAAAATAATCTTATAATAGAGACACACACAGTGATACCGGAGAAATGAAACAAAGTTTACAGGATTTACAGAAAGTGTGAAATAATTGTTTAAACACGAAGTTGGGCACTGTTGTCATTTTATTGATTCCAAACCCTTAAGAACTAATTTAAAAACTACTCTCAAATGACATGAAAACAAAAATTGTTCACCGTTATGGTTTAGAGGAAGGATACAGAAAGCTGCCTCAGAGATTTCAGCTGTCTGTTTCCATCGTTAGGAACATACTGAGGAAAAGGAAGACCACAGACACAGTTCTCCAAGTGGCAGATCAAGAAAAATCTCAGATAAGCAGAAGAGAAGAATGGTGAGAACAGTCAGAGTCAACCCACCGCCCAGCACCAAAGACCCATACATCATCTTGCTGCAGATGGAGTCACATCGTTCAACTATTCGGCACACTTTACACAAGGAGGTGCTGTATGCGAGAGTGATGCAAAGGAAGCCTTTTCTCTGCCCACAGCACAAACAGAGCTGTTTGAGGTTTGCTAGAGCACATTTGGACAAGCCAGCTTCATTCTGGAATAAGGTGCTGTGGACTGATGGAAATAAAATTCAACATTGTAAGTAAAATGGTGATTGTGCCACAATTTAATTATTTGTCAATAATGCTTCCTATTTCAGTAAGTGAAAAGTATTATTCGCAGTATAATCAGATGGTAAAGGATTATCTATGGAATGGAAAGAAACCAAGGATAAATCAACAAAAACTGTATGTAACAAGAAGGGATGGAGGTCTTGCTTTGCCAAATTTGGAGCTGTATACCATTGCCTTTGAATTGGCTAAATTAACAAAACTTTGTGGTAAAGAGGACGCTTATTTAGGATGGGTAGGTGTAGAAAAATAATTTACTGCCCCCTTTTGGCCTTTGGATGCTTTGTCACAAAAAAGAGCACAAAAGAAGGAAGCTGAGTATAAAGAGAGTAATCCAATATTACAGCATTCTAAAAAATATCTGGATCAAACTCCACAAGTGGTTAAAGATATCCCATTATAAACAATTATATTCATCAATTTGGTATAACCCAGCAATAAGGTGGGAAAGGAAGTCATCTGTTGGAATATGTGGAGAGAGAGGGGCATGACAAAATTAGAGGATCTAATCGAGAACAAAACAGTGAAATATTATCAGGACTTGAGAATACAGTTTAACGTGGATAGTATAGGTAATTTATGGAGATATTTTCAAATAAGAAGTAGTTTGGATGGTTTAGTTAAGGGGTTGCCTGAAGAGGACAATGTTACAGCTCTATTTAAAATTAGCAGAAAAGTATCAGTCATCATCTATGTTTTATAGGATGGCAGTAAAAGTATTATGTGGAAATTATGATGGCTTATAGCATGTTTGGCAGAGGGATTTAAGCATAAGGTTGGATAGAGATTCATGGCAAAGGAATGTCCAATATGGGATGGTTTACCAGGGAGGCACAAGGAAAGCTGACACATCATAAGATAATCCATAGATATTATTTTACACCGGTTCAACTTTATAAAATGGGTTTAATGAAGAATAATTTATGCTGGAAATGTAAAAGGCAGGAAGGTACTTTTATTCATTCTATGTGGTCATGCTATGTTGTTCAGCCTTTTTGGAAAAAATACTGAATACAATGCAAGAGTGGTTGGATATACCGCTCCCGGAAACTGCTCAACTTTGTTTATTAGGAGACATGTCGTGTGTACCGAATATATCTTCAACGGCAGGGGCCCTGGCTCTTACAGGTTTTATTTCAGCAGCTAGAGTCATACTGCGTAAATGGAAAAGTTTTGAGGCACCTGTTTACAGAGACTGGATAATAACGATGACGGAGATTGCATCTCATGAATTATTAACTGCTAAAATGAAGGGAAAAAAGACTCATATTTTGATACCTGGAAGGAAATTTTGTTTTTTATTGGTAAAAAGATATAAAAGTTGTTGGACAGCATGTTTTGAAATTATTATGAATTGTGGTTGTGTGTGGTTTTGAGCTAGCCTGTGCTGTAAGGGGGGTGGGTTATTTTGGTATTTTGTTTTTGTGTAAAAATTTGGAAAACTTAATAAAAAAAACTTAAATAACAAAAAAAGAAAAATAATGAGTAAACATTGTCAGTCCTGGCTGGCCACTTTTCTGTTAGCTTTCTAGTTTTAGTCTCCATTAGTATTAGTTTGTTACCTTACACCTGTAGTTTATTATTCTTATTCTTATTAACAACAACAACAACAACAACAACAACAACAATAATAATAATAATAATAATAATAATAATAATAATAATAATCATAGTTTGTCACCTTACACATTCAGCTTAATAAACGATTTCACATAGTAATTTGGCTAGTTCACTACTCAGTGTTTACCAGCTTTCACTGCCTTAGTCGTCCAACGTTAGCCTTTTCTGCTGCTAGCTTTCTACTTTAGTCTGTAATTCATTGTACCATTTTCACTGCTTTAGATTTGGTCTGCATCGATACTCAGTATTAGTAATTCAAAGCATTGAAATTCTGTTAGTTTTCAACAATGATTTTATGTAGTTTTTGTACCAGTTTAAACTTTGTTTTCACTTACTTAGTAATTCCTGGCTGACCACATTTAGTTCTCTGCTCAATGTTTTATTGATATTATGTTAGTCTTCAAGTTTTAGTCGTCAGTGTTTTAATTTTATATAATCCCATTGTTCATTTTTTGTGTTGTTTTGTCTGTCTTTATTGCTGTAAAGCACACTGAGTTGCATTTGTGTAGGAAATGTGCTATATGAATAAAGCTGTCTTGTCTTGTATAAAACAGAGGTTTTTGGGCATAACAAGGGGCGATGTGCATGGAAAAAGAACACAGCGTCCCTGGAAAAACACCTGCTACCTACAGTAAAACACGGTGGTGGTTCCTTCATGCTGTGGGCTGTGTGGCCAGTGCAGGGACTGGGAATCTTGTTAAAGTTGAGGGACTCCACTCAGTGTCAGCAGATTCTGGAGACAAATGTCCAGGAATCAGTGGCAAAGCTGAAGCTGCACCGGGGCTGGATCTTTCAACAAACACTGCTCATAATCTGCGTAGGTGTTCAGAGGAACAAGTACAACGTTCTGGAATGGTCATCTCAGTCCCCAGACCTGAATATTATTGAGATTCTGTGGTGTGAGATACAGAGAGCTGCCCATGCTCAGAATCCATCAAACCTGAATGAACTAGAGATGTTTTGCAAAGAAAAAT